TGGCTGTTTACAATCAGACAAATAAGAAAATTTCTTTAAAAGTTCATTTAATATTTATTTGGAAGACAGAAAAGGGGTTTTACAGTTATTTTATCAGTACGACCAATCAGTCTAGTTCACGTACATTTTACACGACCGGATCACTCATTTACTAGACTGGGTCGGTCGGACGTCCCTTAGTGTCAAACCCTGGCATCAAAAGACATGAAATTTAATTTTAAAAGATAATATTGATAGGGGTGAAACGATACACCTCCTTCACGGTTCGATACGTATTGTATAATTTTGTCTCGGTTCGGTTATTTTCGATACGATACATTTTGATAGAAGGAAACAAATTCAACGTTGTTTTATGCTCTCTTTTTCTAAATCTAGTCACATATTTTACGAATTTTATTTGCAAATTGACTAGAAGAAATTGATTAAAATTATTTGACTGTCAAAAATTATTTTACAATCTATCAGTCATCAAAAATTTACGTTTTCTATACAGTATACTTATTTATACTGAGTAACGTGTTTTACCTTATGCCAAACCCGACTGAATAACGATCCCGACCGAAAAATGAACCGAACCGAAAATTAGAGATTTTGCACCGCGTATCAAACCGAGAAAAAATACCGCGGTGAATCGATACCGCGGTGAACCGTTTCACTCCTAAATATTGACCTATTTGACATGTTTAATTTGGTTTTGTATTAGTTCATTGGAAAAAAAATAAAATAAAATTAAAAATAAAATAATTTTCCTACCTACCTACCCTATTTTTTTTTAGGCCAGTAGCAGGAAACAAGACTATTATTTTTTTTGGCCTTATGTACATGTATAGGTTTGTTACTGACTGTCTACATTTATATCAATTCACTATATTGTGTTCGTTATATCCATAAAAATTTACAAGGAATTGTTAAGAATTTTGCAGGGGATTCCAAAAATTTTCATTATATCTGTAAATTCACTATATCTGTGTTTGCACTAAACAAGTTTTACTGTACCGCCAAGTTAGGGCTGTGTATATAGCAAAAAATTTAGATACGATACAATATTTTATAAAGTGATATTCGATATATTGGATTCTTTAACAAGTTTATCAAAAAGACTTATAAATCATTCCATGCATAAATTTAAAAAAAAATGAGTGTTTTATAGCCAATTTCAAAGTTCTTGTCACACTGTCATTGCAAAATACACTTCAAATTCAAACTTTTAACGACTGTAAAACCAACATGTTAAAATATAATAGTTGTCTATGTATTTTGTAATAATTTTTTAAGATGTGCTATCTCCTTAATGTTTACATCATTATTAATCAGTTTTTATTCAAAATGGTAAAATCTAATCATTGGTCATTAAATTCCCAACTTTTTCACAGGATTATAAGAAAAACTGCCTGTCCGATACATATTGGAAGTTTTTTTTCGATGCGATACATTCTTGACTATCGGTACGTATTGGTATATCGATATATCGACACAGCCCTAAGCCAAGTTATCTTCAAAAGTTTTGAGGCACCTGTTTTACTTTGCTTCTCTGTAGGCCTAGGCCTAATTTTAAACACGTCCCTTCTCATTAGAGCGAATCTCGACTCTACCATAAACACAACAAATCTGATGTCATTTCTTTAAAGGGCCGCTATTCTAATTTCAAAAAGAAAATAATATGGAAAGTGGTTCCCATAATAAATGATTTCCAATATCGTAATGCAAACGCACTGCATTTGCCATATTGCAAGATATTAGTTCTCACCTGCTGGACATAGAAATATAGACGGCAGTCATGTGTCACGTTTAAACCAATGAATGTGCGACATTTCAATCAGAGGGAAAAATAATATCTCTTTGACAGGTCCAATTTCTCACTAAGCAGTCTAACATCAATTTTTTTGGGACGACTCGGAAAAACATTGGAAAGTTTTACTTGGACCTTTTTTAGTAAAGATTTATATACTACAGACTAGGAAACAATTTTTAAACAGGTCGAGACCTCTAGATTTTCTGACATCAGCATACCTCGGTAAATTTGCATGTAAATTAGCTATCTGTTTACTTTACCAACTGTTGAATGAGTCGCAGTGCATTATGGGCTACTACAAGTATCAATACAAACTCAGTTGTGTTGAAAATGAAGGGCAACTTGAATTGTTCCTTGGAGACTCATTTTCAATTATTTTTTGATATTCATGAAAGAAATATTGAAAATGATGTATAATCTTTCAATTCTATGCTCACATTACAAAATTTGCTTTGTGAAGCCTTATATCAACTTGTAATACATTGGCATAAACCACTGTTCAAAGAGACATAGGTGCTATTGTGTCGATAAAGCATTGAGTGTTTTTTTTTTCACATGATATACATGAACGTAGTTTTAGGTAGCAGTACAAGGTGCACAATCATTATTTAACTCCTCAATATCATCTAAAAAATTTTATGTACACGTAAACGTCAAAGAGTTTGTACGGTATTTTAAGCAACTATTAATCATCAAATTAAAACAACTATAATATCAAATGTGAGCATGGAACAGTGACTTTGGAATGTAATCTTTCAATTTCAGCCTTATAAAGTAAAAAAGAAGCTGTACGGGTTTTCCGGTGACCAAGTAAATATTATGTTGCTATTGAATCGTAAACATGTAGTAGACGTCATGCTTTGCAACTCATTCAGTTGATTGGACAACAGGTTTGACAAAAACTTTGTCACATGTTGAAAAGTGCCTTCCAGAAATGGTAGTGTACCCGACCTGTTAAACTTAGGTATGGTAGTGTACCCGACCTGTTAAACTTAGGTATGGTAGTGTACCCGACCTGTTAAACTTAGGTATGGTAGTGTACCCGACCTGTTAAACTTAGGTATGGTAGTGTACCCGACCTGTTTAACTTAGGTATGGTAGTGTACCCGACCTGTTTAACTTAGGTATGGTAGTGTACCCGACCTGTTAAACTTAGGTATGGTAGTGTACCCGACCTGTTTAACTTAGGTATGGTAGTGTACCCGACCTGTTAAACTTAGGTATGGTAGTGTATGGTAGTGTACCCGACCTGTTAAACTTAGGTATGGTAGTGTACCCGACCTGTTAAACTTAGGTATGGTAGTGTACCCGACCTGTTAAACTTAGGTATGGTAGTGTACCCGACCTGTTAAACTTAGGTATGGTAGTGTATGGTAGTGTACCCGACCTGTTAAACTTAGGTATGGTAGTGTTCCCGACCTGTTAAACTTAGGTATGGTAGTGTACCCGACCTGTTAAACTTAGGTATGGTAGTGTATGGTAGTGTACCCGACCTGTTAAACTTAGGTATGGTATTGTACCCGACCTGTTAAACTTAGGTATGGTAGTGTATGGTAGTGTACCCGACCTGTTAAACTTAGGTATGGTAGTGTACCCGACCTGTTAAACTTAGGTATGGTAGTGTATGGTAGTGTACCCGACCTGTTAAACTTAGGTTTGGTAGTGTACCCGACCTGTTAAACTTAGGTATGGTAGTGTACCCGACCTGTTAAACTTAGGTATGGTAGTGTATGGTAGTGTACCCGACCTGTTAAACTTAGGTATGGTAGTGTACCCGACCTGTTTAACTTAGGTATGGTAGTGTACCCGACCTGTTAAACTTAGGTATGGTAGTGTATGGTAGTGTACCCGACCTGTTAAACTTAGGTATGGTAGTGTACCCGACCTGTTTAACTTAGGTATGGTAGTGTACCCGACCTGTTTAACTTAGGTATGGTAGTGTACCCGACCTGTTAAACTTAGGTATAACAATCATTATTGTCAGTTGTTATTGATTAAACATCACAGCTCTGCTTTAATTGCTTGAACAGCTTTGTTTCTTCATCATGTTCATTTGCTCAAATTAATTAAACATGTTTCAAATTGGTGACACATACGTGTCAACTTTGGGGTGAACCAAAATTAAATTATCAGAAATCAGAATTTTTACAGCTGGCAGTATACTGTAGTCAATCAAAATGGCATAGGTTGAATGATTCAAATGATTAAAAGGGGACTTGGAGAGATTTTATTTGTTGAAAGATACTGAATGATAGCTTGTAAACAATTGGTAGAACTACCTAAATGTCCACACCCTGACGTGATGTTGTAGATTAATAGCTAGCGGATTTGGATTTATCGTTGCAGATAGAAGGAAGAAATATTTTAGCATTATCATGATAACAGAGCTGATATACTAGCTCACATCTCTATGTATACAGGCTTAATTAGGGAAAAAAGTCTACATGTCAATTAAAATTAAGTTAATTTTTATTAATGTTTTTATAGGAACATAAAAGAAGATTTACCTCCTTGAATTTTCTAGTTTAAACTTTGATAATTTAAAAAAGTATATTTCATTACATCTGACAGATCTTCATTAGCCTCAGCAGTGTGTTTTTCTTGATCCATAAATGATAGCCAAATACAGGCAGTTTCCATAATGTAAATATCGTCATTTTTTTCTCCAAAATTAACCATATTTTTCAGTTGTAAGATTTCTATTTAAAAATCTTTACATGTATGAAAACACTGTACAGAGATATCAAATATAATGAGTTGGTATTAATCTATAAAAAGAACATTGTTCAAGAAAAGATTTCCTTTGTAAACAACTTTAACAGAGAACTTCCTTGTGATATTTAAAACATTTTTCATTGTAATGCACTTTAAGTTGAGATGATTTGCAATATATTGCAGTTACAATATATTTATATATATTTAGTACATGTATATTACTTAGTTATATATTAATTTATACATATTTAGAGATACTTAAAGAATTCAGAGAGTACGATTGTGCATTCTATTCATCCATATTATTTTGCTTTCTGGAAAGTCATATTTTTCCGCAGTGAATCATTTCCTGAATGTGTTTTACATAAAATACATTAGATACTAGTTAAATACACTTATCACAAACAAGTTGCTTTTTCAGTGTTAAATCAGATATATAACGTGTAGTGTTGCTCTTGTAAGAGGATTTTGATTTCATTTTGGTGAAATTGGATTATTTACCAATCGTAAATTATTCTTGATTTGTACTAAATATGGAAAAATAGTCAAGGAAGTTGGAAAATGGCAAGATGGAAGAGTATTTCAGGGGTAAGGAACTTAAATTTAAAGTGTCTTGATATCGTAAACTTTGAGTACACAGTTTTTATTTATGATAAAACATGAAGTTTAAGCATTTTGACAGGATATGAGTTGTTTTATTAGCAAGTGTTGTAAATGCAGATTTTCTATCTAGCTTGTCTATTTATAGACATAACGTTCAGCACTGTATTATTTACTAGTTCATTGAACGCAGGGATATATTATCTTAAAAATTTTAAAGTGAAAGATTTGAACATTCAAGAACTTATTGAGCCTCTACATATAGAATAATTTATATTATATATGTGTCAATTTAAAGTAGCATTTAAAGGAAGTCAACCAATAAAAAACTGAAATGGATGTGTGCAAGCTCATATACATGTATTGAAGTACTTTGTTCAACTATCATCTTAAATGCACATATTAATTATGCCCCCAACCCTTGAAGTAAATATGTATATGAGCCACTGTCATTATCAAGATTCAAGAACATTAGATTTATACTGCCCTGACTGATCATTGCAGCAAATAAAAATAATATTGCTTTTGTTAGCTGCAGGTAATTGTAATTTGTAATTTCAAATTCACAGAGACCAATTAAACCATAGGTGATCAGTTGACTTTCTGATCACAGACTTACCATATTTGGGTATAGAATAATAGATCACTTGTCAATCTCCAGTCTAAAAGTAAATATTCACGTCTTAATTTGATCCAGAATTTAAACTTCCACATTTAAAAAAAAAATTAAAAAATGATGTATATAACAAGCACTAAAACTGTAGGCTGTATATTTCCTGGTTAAATGTTGAGGTGGTTATAAGTTCTTTAGTTTGATCACTTAATGCCTCCTCTCTTACACGTAAACATTAGACTGCTGGTTAATTTCCTGTGTGCTGTATTCCCTGATCGAAGATAAGTGGATACAGCTTCCAATCTGCCAAGGTTATTTTTCATACATTTAATTATCATGTTGTGTAAATTAAATCAGTTTGCTGCCTTTTACCCTTTCAACTAAAAATAGACATGTCCAAGAGTAATGGATTATGTATATTCCATTGCTATATATATATACCAGATAAACATGCAAGTATACTGTACTACAGATGTAAAATTATAAGAGATTATCAGTATATGTGATGACCCTGTACCTGTTTATATATATCCAGGTAGTACGAGATAAGCGGACACTCTCAGCCCTGTGTGGGGGGGAGGTTTCTTATTCTTAATCTGATGAGAGCTACTTCTCAATGTGGGATTCAACACTTGAACAATATGAATGGAATTTATCGTAAGCTTGCCCCCGACGAGCGTTTCGATTATGTGGATAGAGAGGTAGGGCATATAGTGGGCTTGTTTTGGGTTTGGTGTTCAGCAGGTCACTAACAAGAGGTTATATGGATTTAAATTTTGGATGTACTTGAAATTTATATTTATGCCCCCAGGTTGTAAAAAAAAAAAGATTAATAGTATTTGGAACAGGTTGATATGGCAATTATCGTATACAATCTAATTTATTAATCAGCATGTTCAAGTGGTGTTGGTGTAAATACATGTAATTAAAATAAAAAAAATTAAATAGCTAACGATTTATGAGAAGATGTAATGTATGCACATATTCAAGATGCATCATCTCAGCCCCCACTCATTCTTCAAGGAAGCAGTATTTAATTTTAGCTGAATCAATATTCCAGGAATTTGTGGAATGTATTCATAAGAGGCAATCACTCCAGCTTATCAGTCTTTTTTGTCATATTTTTATTCATAAAATAATGTAAACATTTTATGTCTGTAGTTCTCTACACAATATTTAACAGCCACATCTTTTAATAACATCTTTTAAGTGCATGCATGGGAATTATTGATGTACAATGAATAAAACAGTAGGGTGATCATTTAACAATGATCTCTTTTGTTGTAGGGTAACCATGCTAGCTCCTCAATGAGTAGTAAGCAGCCCGCTTCCTTCTTTGAGTCATCCTACTATATCCATCAAAGATATGAAGACACTGCACTGGTAATCTTCCAACAACAGCAAAGGAAAAAGAGGGACTCAACTTTTGAAATGAAAAGACCTGTCCGTCGGGACCATGAAGTTAACAAAAGCCATGTAGAACTGGGACATTATGGAAATCCTGGCATCATTGTGAAGGAAGACATAGTAAATGACATGAAAGTTCATGTGGACAAAAGTCCTGTCCAGTCCACTGTGTGTGTTATAGTGTGATGTAAGACTAGCTTAGATATCTGTGTTGCATGCGGTTGAATGAGTTAAGGATTTGTGTGCTTGTGTTAACTGAAGGTAGATTTTTTTTTTTCATTTGTTATATAGAGCTTCTTGTGCATCATTATTTAATATTAGCTTTGTATTGTACATACAATGGAGCTACATCCTATATTAGAGAGGGATACTGTCCCAAACACTGGTCTTTGGTATGTGTTGTCTGCTTTGGGAGATAGCCCCTCTATTCGTGTAGGACATACCTGCACTCATGTCAGTGGGTCATCCGATGGTGACAGTGGCAAGCTGTATGTGATAGGAGGGGCCAATCCTAGTGGAGCATTCTGTGACACTTTTGTTCTTGATCTCAACACCATGATGTGGGATATTGTAGACTACCCAGGGTTCAGAGCTAGATACGAACATGCAGCTTTTGTTCCACAATCAGAGCCAGAGAAAATATATGTGTTCGGAGGTGCTGATCCCACAGGAAATATGAATGATATTCAGGTACTAGATACTGCTACTAACTCATGGTCCACACCAGCTGTTACTGGAACTGCACCCACCCCTCGTACATACCATACCACTGCTGTTGTAGGAGACAAGTTCATTGTGTATAGTGGAGGTCATAGTGGGCCTGACCCTGTGGGTGATAGACAAGTGCACTGCTTTGATGTGAAAACATCGGTCTGGTCCACTCTTCCTGTCAAAGGAGACTCCCCAAAACCCCGTCATGGTCATGTGATGGTTGCCATTGGAAACAGGTTATTTATTCATGGAGGAATGGCTGGGTCTGCATTTTATGATGACTTCCATCTAATGGACTTAGATAAAATGTCTTGGTCAAACATTCGTCGGAAGAAGGTTACTCCATCTGCACGGGCTGCTCATAGTGGAGTGGCGGTGGGAAAGGACATATACATCTTTGGAGGGATGAACAGAGAGGGAGCCCTGGATGATCTCTATAAATGTGACACAAGTAAGTGGATAATTTGAATGTAAATTGCACCTGTAGTCTACACATTCTTGAAGTTGTCATAAGAAATTTCTCTTTATCCTTAATCTCAGCAGCAGTAAACTGTTGTGAAAAAGAGAATTTTTCCCAAAAAATAAAGGTGAGTTGTTATTTTTCATGATGTTGAAGTTCTGATTGGTTTATTACTGTTATAGCTACTATGTTATGGACAAAGATTGAACTGCATGGTCCACCCCCAGCCTGTCGTTTGGACTTTGGTATGTGCCAGATTAAGTTATTCCGGAGTCTTGTAAGGGAACCGGAGGACCAAGATCTCGTTACTCAGGTTCAGCAGACTAAGGAGATCCTGGACCGAGAGCTGAAGCCTGGCAGCGCCAGTTCTCGTGACAGCCGACAGGACACTGGATCAGGTATCAATCTAGGTCATTCCTGTGTCAACATTTGATGTTCTTTATTTCCTTCCTCTGAAGACAAACTTCCTTATGTTTCGAGTCAATAAAGATATGCTGTTACGTATTGACAAATTAATTTGCTTCTGATTTATGTTTGTCACGAAATTAATTTACATCAAACTTTCTGTTCAGTAATAAAACAGAATTATTTTGTTTAAAAAATTAGATAAAATAATACTATAAAATGAAGTTTATTTGATTTTTTTTTTCAATTTCTAGAGAGTTCTAGTGTGACGTATGAAATCCCCCAGCCTACAACCGACGACGAGGACGAGGAAACACCCCGAGCAGAGGGGGCCACTGCCTCCCTTAACTTTCCTGTTTCAGATGGCAAAGAAATGAATTTTGTGCTGGTTCATGGTGGAATGGATACAGAAGGAGAGATATTTGATGATGCTCTAGTTCTGTTAACAGAACAACCATCATAGTTGAATGTCACTAACTTAGCTTAAAGTTCCTTTATGTTTCAATCATATCGCAGTAGCTGCCAAATTTTGTGATACCATTTTTTAATTATCATACAGTGAACAAATGCATGTTGATGTACTCACAAAATAGAACTTTTTTTTTTAAGAATTAAATTTATTCTAAATCAGATATCAAATTTATGGTTTTAAAGAGGAATTGTTGGCTGAAGATGAGTAGTAGCCTAATGTCTGGACCTGTGCTCTTTAAATAGGATGTATAAAAGTTTAATCATGGGAATTGATGTGAATATGTATTATGAAACAAATTTAAAATTCACTATTAAAGCCTGATAATTTTTTTTTCATTTCAAAACAAGAGGCCCAAGGGCCTAGAACTGCTCTTCTCATCAGTTGCAAAACACTGTGACATACTTCAAGGTCAACTTATCTAGAGGCCCCAAAGGCATATCAACGGAAATGGTTTGATGATCCTAAACCTCTTAGGCCAAAAAAATTAATTAATAGTTTCTCAGGCCAAATTTTTAAAATTCAATGCAGCAGACAGGGTTTTTTTTGTTTTTTTGTTTTTTTTAGCAGGTGTAATACTTTTTTTTCATGTCGGTCATTCAACAAAATGATGATATTAACTTGTAATGGTTTGGTCCATGGATATCGGCCTGGGTAGCTCAGTCGGTAGAGCACCTGACGAGTGATGCAGGGGTCCCAGGGTTCGATTCCCGGTCCAGCCATACATTTTCTCCTTTCCTGTTACAAACTGATTCTTACTTTTTTTGTTCTCTAACATTAATTATAATATGTATTTAACTTAAATTATTTAATATAAATGTATCCAGTAACTAATTTTAATCTGCTATTGTTATTTACCTTGGGTAAATCCTAATGATTTTCAATGAATTCTGTTTTACTGTTATAAAATATAACAACAGGATTTTAAAGTGTATAGAAAATTGAATGCTACATTGATATGTCAACAATATTCAGGATGGTTTTATTTTAACGACGACGGACCTAATTCGTTTCTGCAATAGATTTTTTATTCAAATTTTAACATGAGGTGAAGTGACTTTTGGTGAGTTAATATCAATAAAAAAATCATATGGTCATCGATGTAGATTTTTAATGGGGAGCGTTTCAAAAGTTGGTGATGGAAATCGATAATTACTACAGGAAGTAATGGGGAATTGCCATTGTAGGGTATAAGAGTGATCATTGAAAAAAAAATCTGCAATAGAATTTTTATTCATATTAAAGGACAATGTTAACAAGACAATTTACCAGCAAATTATACCAAAAAATAAATGGGTCATCGGCTTAGTTTTTTCAGGGGGGCATGTCAAACTCAGGTGTAGGGCACATTTTGGGGGAAATTTTCAATGAAAATACCTTGGCCAAATAAATCATTTATTTATAAAATCAACAAATGAATAAAAATCGAAATATTTACAATATTTCTAAGTTTGAATATCTTTAAAAGAATTAAAAATGTATATTTTTTATCTTTTTGCAGTATATAATTAAGTCAATTTGATTCAAGGCATATGCACGGTTTTCTGCGCAGTGGCACGAAATTTTGAATTAGGTCCGTCGTCCTTAACTGAAAATTGCAAACATAGTGAAATTAAAAACACTGCAATAGTTTCCACTTTACAGAAGGTAAGAAAGTTTTCAAAATGTTAAGTCGCAATAAAAATAAGAAAATAGGTCACTTTTACATATACAGTAAAACTTGTTGAATCCGGATGTTGTGCATTCCGGCATGTTGTTCAGTCCGGCGTAATATTTTAGTCCCTTGAATTTTCTTTATAATTTATGTTTGATAAATGTTGTTCAATCCGGATCTTGCCTATTCTGTAAACCGGTCGCTATTTAAAGAACTAACTGCTTATATTTAGTCCTCTAATCCGGCCACTTATTTTTACCTGTGGCCGCTGGTCATTGGAGAAGTCTCACGTGGGGTAATTATTGTCCCGTTAATGATCTATCCTGCATCGACAGTTTAGATTTTAACAAACGTGATAAAAAAAAATGCCATAAATGGCTCAAATAAGGCGAGGAAACTCGCAAAAGAACGAGTGATAGTGATGGTTGCGTGTAACATGTCTATAGAAAAAACTTGGAGACTTATTCATGACCTCCTTTCTACTTTCGTTTTGCGTGCACGACGTGCAATTCGAATTACTTCCCTTTGTGTCACCAGTTTACAACAACCATAACGACAGAAGATTTTGGTCCAACATTCATTATAACATTTGAAATTAACAAATACAGTGTCTAAATATTCGAACATATTAATTTTAAAAGAAAGAAATTAATTAGGAATCTGTCCCTAACAAAATAATATTTACAACTTCGATGAGGTTTTGGAGTGTGTTTAAAACATTTAACGATTTTCAAATTTAATAAATGACCAACAGATACTGAATAAAAAACTTGAACAGAAATGAAAATTCTGAAGAACAATCAGAACTCGAAACAAACGAAATAGACGATTTTTGCAAGTGAAACGTAAAAGAAAATGACACATTTGATCAAGTACATGTATTTATTTACCACTCTTTATTTATATCTATGTAACTTTTAACTTGCTATAAAGGTTCAATTTTCTCTAATCTGGATGTTGTCTAATCCGGCCAAAAATTTTGGAACCACTGGTTGCCGGATTAGACAAGTTTTACTGTACTTAAAGTCAGTACAATGCAATGCCACAAAATGCATCAACTAACAAAGTTTGGCAATTGTAAATATTTTAGTATTGTAAATCACTTTTTATTAGTGATTACTTTATTTTCACTTCATTATGTGAGTCTGTCTGTCCCTAAAAATGTCATTCTCGTGGATATTTTTTTGTATTATTAAAGATTATACAGCAAAAACCAAAATTTCATGAAATTTTTTACTTTCTTGAAAATACCAATTTAACTATCCTGTGAAAATAAGGTGTAATTAAAAGGATAACTGTATTTTAAAAAAACAACCAAAAAAACAACAACAACAACAACAAAAAAAAAAAAAAACAAGAGGCCCATGGGCCACATCGCTCACCTGAGCACATTGGCTAGGAAAAAAAAGCAAAAATCAGTTCAGTATTGAAAAGTTTACATGGGGGGACTTGAAATTTAAACTACCTGATTATGCTTCCACATCAATGTAAAAAATGGCTTTGTTGTTCTTGAGCAGCAGATTTTTTCCTATATATTCATTTGTAAAAATTTGATCCCTCATTGTGGCCCCACCCTACCCCCTGGGGCCTTCATTTGAACAAATTTGATTCTACACTACCTGAGGATGCCTCCATATCAATATGACCAATCATGGCTTTTCCATTCTTGAGAAAAAGATTTTTATGCCCCCGGATCGAAAGATCCCGGGGGTATATTGTTTTTGTCCTGTCTGTCTGTTTGTCTGTTTGTTTGTCTGTTTGTCCGTTTGTCTGTCTGTCTGTTGTCAACTTTAACCTTGCCCATAACTTTTGATTGGTTGGAGCTATGACTTTCATATTTCACATGTGTATTTCTTGTGACAAGACCTTTCTTTGGGTACCATCATATTTGACCTTTTGACCTTGACCTTGGAGTTTGACCCACTTTTGCAAAATTTTATGAGACTTTAACCTTGGCCATAACTTCTGAACAGTTGGAGCTTGGGGTTTCAAACTTCACATGTGTATTCTTTGTGACAAGGCCTTCTTTTGGATACCAACAACTTTGACCTTTTGACCTTGACCTTGGACTTTGACCTACTTTTGAAAAACTTTAACCTTGGCCATAACTTTTGAACAGTTGGTGCTTAGGGTTTCAAACTTCACATGTGTATTCCTTGTGACAAGACCTTCCTCTGGATATCAACCACTTTGACCCTTTTGGCCTTGACCTAGGAGTTTGACCTACTTTTGAAAAACTTTAACCTTGGCCATAACTTTTGAATGGTTGGAGCTAGGGCTTTCATACTTCACATATGTAATCCTTGTGACAAGACCTTCCTTTGAATACCAACGACTTTGACCTTTTGACCTTGACCTAGGAGTTTGACCTACTTTTGAAAAACTTTAACCTTGGCCATAACTTTTGAATGGTTGATGCTAGGGCTTTCATACTTCACATATGTAATCCTTGTGACAAGACCTTCCTTTGGATACCAACCACTTTGACCCTTTGACCTTGACCTAGGAGTTTGACCTACTTTTGAAAAACTTTAACCTTGGCCATAACTTTTGAATGGTTGGTGCTAGGGCTTTCATACTTCACATATGTAATCCTTGTGACAAGGTCTTCCTTTGGATACCAACCACTTTGACCTTGACCTTGACGTTTGACTTTTATTTAAAAAACTTTAACCTTCACCATAACTTTTGAACAGTTGTATCTAGGTCTTTCAAATTTCACAGGTGTTTTCCTCGAGACAAGATCTTTCTTTGGGTATCAACATTTTTTATCTTTTGGCCTGGATTTTGACTTGCATTTGAGAAACTTTAACCTTCGACATAAGCTGCCATACGGGGGCATCAGTGTTTCACAAACACATCTTGTTTCATATATAATTCCTATGTATTTGATCCCCCATTGTGGGCCTACCCTACACCCAGGGGTTATGACTTGAAAAAAACTTGAATCTACCCTACCTGAGGATGCCTCCATATCAATATGACCAATCATGGCTTTTCTATTCTTGAGAAAAAGATTTTTTCATATATAATTCCTATGTATTTGATCCCCCATTGTGGGCCCACCATACCCCCAGGGGTTATGTCTTGAAAAAAACTTGAATCTACACTACCTGAGGATGCTTCCATTAAAATATGACCAATCATGACTTTGCTGTTCTTAATGAGTTTTTAAGAATTTTCCTATGTATTCTTAGACTAAACTTGATCACCTGTTCTGGCCCCACCCTACCCCCGAGGGTCATGATTTGAACAAACTTGAATCTACACTACCTGAGGATGCTTCCATATAAATATGACCAATCATGGCTTTGCTGTTCTTAAGAAGAAGATTTTTAAAGATATTTTCCTATATGTTTCTATGCTAAACTTTGATCCCCCATTGTGGCCCGACCCTACCCCTGGGGGTCATGATTTGAACAAATTTGAATCTACACTACCTGAGGATGCTTCCATATAAATATGACCAATCATGGCTTTGCTGTTCTTGAGAAGAAGACTTGTTAAGAATTTTCC